GTTCTGAAAAAACAAACTCTTGGTTGTGAAGAAAAGCTTGGAAAAAAAAAAAAATCCCTAAAGGCTCCAAAACGACGATGTAAATGAAGAGTCCAAATGTTATGTATTTTATTTATATCTTGTTATAAAAAAAGGCCTTAAGGGCTTTCTGGAGCTTACATTTAACGCATGCCAGGTTCTTCTAAAATTGTTAGAGAGGGTACCATGTGTATTCAGTCTTTTTTTTTCTCTTTTACTTTGAGTTTTGTGCCTGTGCAACACTATATGCCTCTTGTCTTAATGCCATTAAAAATCATCAATGGAATTACTGGGATATTTGGAGGAGTGGCAGTTTTAAGTCCTGTTGTTAGTATAGTGCATCTCAAGTAAACTGAGTAAAGCCTGGTCCATTCTCTTGTCCCTTCCAACACTGATGAGGTCCTCTCTCAGTGCTGAACAGGCCCAGCTCTCTCAGCCTTTCCTCATAAGAGATGCTCCAGTCCCTAAATCATCTTTGTTGCTCTCTGCTGGACCTGCTCCAGGAGCTCCATGTCTCTATTGTCCTGAGGAGCCCAGAACTGGATACAGCTCTCCAGATGCAACCTCACTGGGGTTGAGTAGGGTGGCAGAATCACCTCCCTTGACTTAAGGTAAAGATCATTCATCAAAAGACATAAAAATCCTTCTGTGAAAGATCATTCCTCAGCTCCCATATGGAGGGAGATCTTAAGGAAAAAAAATTCTGAAGGAGGAACTTTATACAGAGGTGAACTTTCAGGTAGTGTATTAAAAAAAAGTGTATGCACTGGGCTTGTGCCTACAGCTTGTTTGTAAACATTGCAATTTGTTTAATCCACAGCGTTGGTAGTGTTTAGTTTACTCTCCCCATGAAGCTGACACACACATGGCATTCTGTTATCGTGGGACAGGGACCTGTCTCACCTGTCTTCTGGAATGCTTTAGGGATGTCAGTCAACCTCACTCTAGGCAGTCTATTCCCCAGAGCTGAAGCTGATGCCCAGTACCCTGCAGAAGCGATGGCTGGAAGGGTGGCAGCTGGGTGACCACCTATGGAGGTGGGCACTGGCCATGGCTCACAGGGCAGACACACAGAACTGCAGCAGCACACTGTCCCCTGACCCTAATGCACAGGTACTTACTGCTGGCAATAAGGGCATCTAGACTTGCTGTTTTTTGAGGAAGATGGCTGGTACAGAAAACTTGTAAAAATTACAGCCTCTTCTCTTGGCTACTTGAGAGTGCACGAGCATCCCAGTGTGCCTGCTTTCAAGGTGAGACCCTGTGAGATGCCTGCAGTAACTCTCTGGAGTGGAAAGGTCTCCCATCTTTTTTTAATGATACAAGCAAGAAGCTTGTACATTAGAAACAACAATTTTAAGTGTTGTTGACATTTACAGTGAAGGTCTCTTCCACTCCTTCACATAAATAACAGAGAAAAAGGCTAGAATTGAGACTTAGGCTAGTTCTCACTGTGTGGTCACTGCCTGCCTGATTTCTAACTATTTACTTTTAGTTTTTCCAAATGTCTGAAAATTTCAGGGTCAACCTGAAGTCAAGATGTACTTGGGTTCAGAGAAATCATGCAGTCCTGAGCTGGCTTTTGAATCTTCTGATGATATAAGGCAAAGTTGATAGAATATGTCAAGATAACTCAGGATTCTTAGATAAATGTAGTCAACTCCTCTAGATGGGAGGAAAAGAGTGCAGAGGCTTCTTTGTTTTTACAGTAATAGTGTATGCATAGTGACTGATAGATGAGTGGGTTAAATAATCTCCCACACTCCCAGTGAGCTAAATTCTCCACGACAAGAAAATAATATAACAAACAAGCTGCAGAAAACTTCAGTAGATTGCTTGCCATAGTGATGTGTTCATTATTTAATACTGAGAGAAAGTGAGGGTGAAAATGCAGGATATTGACATTCATTTCCATTAATCTGTCATTGAAGTGTACCAGACATATGTGAAGAACACATAAGTCAGAGGACTGTCCAAAGATGAGACCTTTTGCAGAGGGTTCCTTGTCTAGGAGCCAAAGGCCTTGTTCTGTTCCTGGTTATGTCACTTACTTACCTCATGTACTTCAGCAAGTTTGATTCCCTCGAAGTATAAAGATTTTCACTGCTTTCAAAAATGAGAACAGGTGGAGGACCTGAAAACGTGAATTCAGGAATAAGCACATGTGTTCACGTGTGTGTATATATGTGTAACCTTAGAGCCTTTGACTTGAAGGAGGTGTATGAAAATCACATATTTTTATTGTTGGAATGAGTTCTGTTGGAATGAGTTCTAGAAGCTCCTGCTGTCGGGGATCTTGTCTTTCCATCCTGATGCCAGAGGCAAGGTGCCAAGTACAGATGCCCACCTCAGCAGCAATGCAATGAACATTTTCCAGTAAAGTTCCAGCTCAGCCAGAACGACCTAGTGCCTCTCCCCTGCCCCAGACATTGTTTTTTCCTGTCAGTGCTCACAGCTCCTGCTTCCAGCTTCCAGTGAGGGGGCTAGACTAGATGAACTTGGTGCCACGTTCATTCCTGCTGCGAGTGGACAGTGAAGTACTTTTATTGAGCTTCATCCAGCAGTTTTGAATGATAACACTGTGATTTGTGCAGCTTCCAAACCTTTTGGATGCCATGGGTTGTTGGACTGCGGGGGCTGCTGAAGAGATATCTCCTGTTTGGCCATTCATAGTCTGTGCTGAGTGTTCTATATTGTTTGTTTTGTTTGCATTTTCTCTCTGGATTATGGGAATGGGAAACATCTCTGTTCCAGATACTGCCATATCCACTCCTAAAGTAGTTGTATTTAATTCCTGAGCACTCACTATGAAGGTATTACTAATTAGCTGGCAAGATGAGGAAACCTGAATTATGTGAGAGCATTACTCAGCTGTATTATTTTAATGTGCTTTTTAAAATAGTCTATCGGATGGTCTCCAAGTAGTACAGGGTGTAACTTGTGGGTGGTAGAGCAAACCTGGCGTGACAAAGGCTTTGGTCGATGGGAAGTTGCAACCCTTGGCACGCAATCCTTTGATCTCTTTTCTGAGACTGTGGGAAAGCAAAGACAGTAACACGTACTGTCCAGTGAAAGTCAGTGTATGAGACAGGCCAAGGAGAGGACTGTGGCATGGTGCCATTAGAGGTCACAGCAACCTATGGCAGATTTAGGGAAACAGCATTCCTGTTGGAGGGGGGGAGCCTGCTGCCTATGCGTCAAAAGAAATTCTTCACATGAAGGAAAATTAAACAACGCCACTATTTTGTTATCAAAGTAAGTTGCTCTTGCCCTTATAAATTGCCTCTTTCCTTACTCCACTCCAAAATATGATCTTCTGAAAGCAATCACACTTCTCAGCTTGTAATGGTTGGCAGGGGCTGTCACTGATGCCGTGTCAAAAACTTCCCCAAATCTCAAAGTAACTGTCAGAGTTTTCTGTTTATCACCTTTGTTTGTCTGCCTTGTGTGTCTCACCGGCTCTTTGTCAGGTTCAAAGCTGTTTGGCATATGGACTGCCTCAAGCTGGTGTGTTGGTCCTGCACACTTCTCCTGTAGCTTCTGTGGAGGGACACAGTAAATAAGAGCAGAACTCTTTATTTGAAAGGGTCTCCCCAAACTGTGCTGATTGCAGTAAGTAGTGCCTGTCAGGAAAGCTATTTAAGTTCAGTGTAAAAAATCACCTGATGTCAGTCTTCTTAATGTTCCTGTGTCATTTTTAATCTTTTGTAAAGAAATGAGACTTATTTATTAATTTCGATTGGTTGTTTCCTAAGAACTTTTGAACTAATTGACTGATATGTTTAAGGGAAAGATATGATAGATATTTACAATCTCCCAAGCAAAGTGGAAGGCAACTAATTCTTCACAGTCTTTTCCCCCCATAAATGAAGCTCAGAGAAGCCATATTCAAAATTGGGAAAGGGAAGTGATTGAAACTCTGCATGGATCGAGGAGGATTCTGAGCTCATGGAAGAGAAATCACTGAGGGTTGCCAGATACAAAGGAGCTGTACCTGACATGTGAAATCCCTGATTTGAAAACAGTTAAATGGTAGAAGAGGATTTCAGGGAAATGTTGTGTCTGTTTGCTTTGTTTTTATGCTCCTCTTAGGCATCTGCTTAAGTCCACAATTAGAGTCAGGATTTGGAGGCAGATGGACTTTTTTTCAGACATTCTGAAGTCACTGGTGCATTTGTAAATCCAAACTAGCCAGAGCATTGCTGCTTCTTGGCCCTGGATGGATCGTGATAAAGGAGTTTGGACCTCTATAGAGGAGAGAGGTGGAAAAGTTAGGGACAAGTGACAAAATCTAGAGGGAAACAGACTCAAAAATTTCCATAGCTGATAGAATTATTTGTGCATAATGATTGTGCTTCTGCAATTTAATGCATTTAATTTGTGTGTGTGTGTCTATGCTTGCATAACTTACACCATCTGGTTGCTGCAGCATTCACTGGGTGTCTGTAGGCTGTGGTTCCATGGGCATGTCTTTAAGCAATTATGGTGGTTTAATTGAAGAAAGTCAGACTGAGAAACTGAACCTAAACCAAAAGTAACCCAGGAGAATAAAAAGCATCAGTTTTAACCTGGTTCTGTTCCTGCATCCAATTCACCACTCAGCTGCATAAAAGCTTGTCTGAAGGCAAGCACTGACAGTGACAGTGGCCTTCCCATGCCTGAAGTGTTTGTTAAGCTGCCATCTCAGGGCAGTGGGTATGAAATCACTGCTATAAAGTGTACTGTGCTTGTTCCCTGTCACACTCTCCATGCAAGGCAGTTGCACACTGCATCAGAATTTGGCACATAACATGTCTTTACAGCCCATGTGTGAAGGTCATTGTCTAGAGAAAATAGGAATATGCAAGTGAAAGTGTTTATTCCTAATGAAAACCTTATTTCAGTTCCTCTGAGTAACTGCATCAGATGCTTTACATCACTTTGTTTTTCATTTTCATTAGAAGTGAGAACTTGTTTCTAATGTCTTCTTCCTTCCTCCCCAGATAATCTGATCAAAGCCATCCTGTCAGCAACCAAAGATTACCGTCTAACTCCAGCTCTTGACAGGTAAGAGGAGACCTTTTAGAAAAGAATGAGTAGAAGTGGTTCTTTTCCATATGTTCTAAATAAATTTTGTTTGACATTTTTGCCAGATAATTTTGCCAGTAAATTTGGCTGTGTTTTTTGGGTAGGTCAGGAGCTGGAAACTGAGTCCTCTTTCCAGTAAATCTGTAGATGCTGAAGACCTCTATTAAGTCAAACATAAGTAGCATAAAGCTTTTGACTATTTCCTAAGCTTTTGTTTCATGTGTTGTTACAAGACATGCTCTTGCCACTTTTTCAAATAAGTAAATAGCAGATTTTCAATAAACACATTATACTTTTCCAGCCTTTCTGACAAAACAACACTATCATAAGAAACTCTTAGAGGGAAAGAAGGGACTGGCTTATTTCAACAATGTTTTTCACCAGTTCCTCACTCATAAAGCAGGAATGTGTATTTGTGTTGGCCAAGCCTGTGTTAGGATGCACAGGAGAGAAGTCTCCTGGGCCCTGTGGTACTTGAATTCAACCCTTTAGAAGAAGCTTCTTTGATTCTTCAGTCCTATTGTAGAGGTTGCTTCTGAAACTCAGTGGCATGTTTACAATCCAGCTTCCAAGTGATAGGCCTTTAGTCTTTGCTGTCCTTGCTTTTCTGTCATTCCTTCCCTTTGCCCCAAGGTTTTGGTTTAATGTCACTGCCCAGATTAGGGGTACTTTTTTTCAGAAGCTGTTAGAGGTTTTTGCTGGGACATGAGCTCTTTTCAGAGTCCTGGTACTGCTTCTTTCCAGTGGTACTTGAACACGAGCTGACACAGTTCCTGCTTTCTAAACACATTGGGTTTATTTCCTGGCCCAGCTCCCGCTCTGCCCACTTTTCCATGACAAAGTTCATACGCTTTTCCAGCCTTTCCATAGGTCACCTCATCTCTCATGTTGATTGTAGAGCTTGCCTGCTGTAGTTAGAGTTAGGAGCTACTCTCTATTTGAAAGTTTATTCTTAGTCTTTCACAGTCTATGTGCTAATTTAGGTTTCTTTGAAGTTTGCCTTGCCTCAGAGCAGTGCCAGGTAGGGTTAGCCTTCAGACTTTGGATTAATTTGAGAAATTATGTCCAGAAGGCAAAATCATTTCACAGATGACCTTCTTAGAGATTTTGCACACAACTGAGTCTCATCCATCTGGGGTTTATCTCAGCTCTGGTTGGAGAGTTAAGATTTTAATCTGTTGAAAAATCCACATATAGACTCTTTCAGAAGGTTACTCGTGGGAAATTAGTGTTAATGACAGAGGGCAGGTGGAAGATTCTTACAGTGGAGGTTAATGTAATTGTGACCCTTGCTGCTCACCTGTTTTTTGAGGAGTAGAATGTTTCAGGTTTTCTAAAAGTAATTTCTCAGGAGGCTGTGAAACATAACCACTCTCGCATGAGCTGCTTGCTTTGGTTAATGTTCTTTATAATGGATTTGGTGCAGAGATAGGAAAGACCTAACACTCAAGCCTCATGAAATGTATGCAAAGTCCCTGTGACACCAAACACAAATGAGAGCTGGGGAACAGGCTAGACATGTATTTCTGTGGTATTGCAGTAACAAAGTTTGCTGGTGTGTAAACACACTTATATTGAGGAAGCACTGTTTTCTTGGGAATTGTTGTGATAGAGGCAAATCAGTGGATGTTGGTTGTGTGGTACATACACTTCACAGTCAAATACCCCCCAAAGCCCTTCCAAGTGAGCAGTTCTTAGGAAAATTAAAAATTGAAGTGTGTATGAGACAAGGGCTTGGGACAGCAAGCCACAAAGTGAGAGCCCAAAGGAGCATGCATCAGAGGGGTTATTAGGAGAGAGAGCTTGGGTACTGTGGGAGATGTTAATGCTGCCAAAAACCTGCTCGGTGAGTAGGGCATGGATGAAGACTTGGGTATGGTTCCAGAAATGTTCTTCACTGTGGTTGTCAATGAATTCCAACTGTGGCTGCAATGGGTATCTGCCATTTTGGATTCCAGAAGAGCTGACAGAGCAGACTGATGAAGGAAGGTTAGCTGCTTACTCATGTTTTCTCAAGCTCAAAGCACAGCCCAACAGTTCCTCTCTGTGACAGCTCCAGTGTGGTGGGAGCAGAGCCTTGAGGTTTGACTCACTCCCTTACTGCTCACTGGTCAACAAGAAAGGCCAGACCTCTCTCCTTTGCTCACCACCTTGGAGCAACTGGAGAGGACCTGGCCTAAGGGACCTTGAAAGGCCCCTTCCAACCCAAACAAACCATTCTTGGTTCTATGATTATGGGCTGAAAAAATGCCTTATTGTGGAAGCGTTAGGTAAGAGACACAGCTCAAGTCTATAAGGTACAAGGGCTCAGACTTGGGAGATCTTGTGAACCCTTCCACTTGTAGGCTCTCAGAAACCTAGTGAGCTGATTCTAGAAGCAGGGAAAAGGCTGCAGGTTCACCCTCTCTTCAAGATGGGTTCACACCAACATTTTCTCTGTTGGCAAAGCCAGTCTAAGAATCCATATTTTCTACTTTGTGCCGCTGCCATTGTTTGAAAAGGGACTTTAAAGTGGGTCAGTGAAATTATTCCAGTTTATGACTTTTTCCTCTTAACCCAGGTCATTCCAGTGACCTCATTTCCACAGCTCTCCTTCCACTCCAGCACTGTGTGGGCACAGAGCTGTAACAGCAGCAGGAGAGGCGGAGGGCTGAGGCGGGTGGGGAAGGTGAGTGCTGCCCAGCCCATTGAAACAAACGTTCGTGTAACTATACTCCTGAAGGCAGCTTTCCCAGGGGAAGGGTGGGAGAGGCAGGAAAGGTGAGGTCAGAGCAGTGCGTGAGAACATTGGAAGGAAAGAGAGGATTAGAGTTGTGTGGTGGAGGATCTGCACCAAACCTTTGGTCTCGTCCCTAGCCAAGCTTCTCCATTTCTGTCCTCCTTCACGAAGTTGGTCCTTGAGATGTTACATTCACTTGCCTCTCATAAGCCCTGGAAATGAATTTATTTGTTTGATTATCCCTGTAACAAAGGGCATCCTGATGCACCTTTCCTGACACAATGTACTGACATGGTGCTGAAACGAGGCGAACGTGATCCTTCCGGGTGTGCGTACACCTTTCATCATCCCACAGCAGCTTTGCCAACTCGCTTCAGCTAATCCCTCCATTGTATTATAACTACCAACAGCTGGAGGGCATGTGCACAAAGGCTAGAGTTCACACCTGTAACACAGTGTAAGTGGTGCCCTGCTTTCTTAGCTCTCTTCGTGGCTCCTTACTGTGGCACCTTTGTGTTGAACCTGCTTCTGCTCCAGGGCAGGGGCTAGGTAAAGCTGCAGTGGTGTTTGGGAGGGTAGTTACACGTCAGCTCTGAGCTTTTCTGGAAAAGATTGGAGATACAGGGGGCTTTCTTTAGAATCTCTGACCTCTTCTTTCAGAGCTGTTGTGTCTTTCTCCCTAGTACAGATGTTGGTGGGCCTCGTCTTTGACACTTCATAGTTCTCCTGCCCTCCACTGACTTTTCCAAGCCCATTTATATTGTTGACATTTTCACTACTTCCTTTAGTGGCTCATCCAGTGGCCTGTCCCTCATTCTGCAAATGGGTCAGGGCTTGGTTTCTATTTCCACAGCCCTTTTGCTGGCTGGACTTCAATGGATTTGGGGGTTAAATCTCTGTGGTGATGACATGTAAATTTCCTATGAAAAGACATAAATATAAAAACCTAACTGACCTTTTTGTATTGCCTCCAGGTGGTAATGAAGGAAAACTGAGAGTTTGAGCTTATGACTAACACAGTCTTTACTAATGCAATATATAAACTGAGCAGTCAGGAAGGAATTTGATAGAGCAGGAGAGATGTGTGTCCCTCTGGCTCGGGTTGATAGCACCCATTTAAGTAGCAGCAGCCAGTTCAAACCAGAATATGCTAAGCCTCCCTAAGCACCAGTTACCCTAAAGATGTTTTTTAATTATTCTGTTACATCTTTCCTCAAAGCCTTCAGTTCCAAAGTTGCGTAAAGGAAGGCTTTGTGGTTTCTCTCCCCTGACAAATCCCTAAAGTGCTTTGATAGGAGAGGAAGTAGGAATTGCTACAATGCAAACATGTGTTTACAGGGCTATATTGTTCAAGAAAATCTGCATGAATCCTGGTTTTGGTGTAGATGAACTCAACCTTGGAGTATCAGTGTCAAGAGTCTGTACATCTGGCTGCAGCTCCTTAGGGCTTTAGGGAAAGTCTGTCTGTGGAAAGTCCATGACCCTCCTTCATACCACCCTGGTAGCAAACTGGAACCTGGGCTGTGTCCGATGTGTTCGGTCCTTGAGCTCTTCTGGAAAAGAAACAGGGCTTTGATGTACTATGTAAACAAACATAAAGGTGTTTGCACACTTCTTTGTGGAGAAACAATTGAGCTGTAACTGATGCTGCTTGCACGGTGTGTTTCTTCAGCCAGAAGCTTGCCTGGAGCCAGAAGTGACTGTGTAGGTCTCCCATGCTCAGGCACCATCAGTGGGCAGAGTATGTTTGAAAGAAATTTAAGCTGCTGGAAGATCAAAGATTAGACCTTAGGGTCAGAAAGACACTAATGAAAAATCTTATCTGCAGACTTAAGGAAAAAGAAGAACACATTTAAATGTGTCAGGACCACAAGGGTATGAGGGTGGCTCAGGCATGAAGCTGGGCAAAGGTGATTAACCTATTAGTTATGATGAGTAAAGGCAGAACCATTCACTGAAGTATTTGTTTCTTTTTTGGAGATAAAAATAGAGCGATGTTGTCCCATTTTACAGCAACAATGAAATACTTTGTGTATTTTTTTTTTAGTAACTGTGAGGATATAAAATGACAATTATTTGTCTTTCAAGGTAAGCAATGCAGAGTGTTTAAAGAGTTAAATAAAGATTTTTTTTTTAGTTTGTTTTACTGTTTGCTTTTTGACCCTTCTTGGAACGTTTGATAGAACAGCAAATGTTGTGCCATTTTTGGAAAATATGGGAGACGATAAAGAGATGGCTGTAAGTTGATTAGCTTGGTTTGCAGGAAAAATCCTGGAAAGTTAGATCTGGGGCAGAGCTTGAATGACAGCATAACTGATGTGAGTTACTTTGGGTTTGTGGAAATGAAATCTTGCCATATAGAGGATATATTTTTTAGATGAACTAGAAGCTTAAATGATAACGGTAACCTTTTAGAGACAGGCATTAGTTATGTCTCAGTCCATTATATTCTGATTCTACACTACACCATTGTAGATATATCCTTTTTAGGAATGGGATAGTCAACATATCTTTAAAAAGTTACTGTCAGGGTTGAGAATTAATCCTTTAATGACACTTCCAGTGTAGTCCTGCTGGCAGGTATTTGCAGGGGCTAAAACCAATCTGGAATAAAGGTAAAATAACACTAGAAAAATTTGCCAGAACCAAAGACTGGGAAAGTAAGGAGTAGCAGGACCAGGTCAGTCTTGACCTTTGCACAGGATCCTTCTCTGAACACTGCTTCCCTGGAGCCAAATCAAAAATCAGGCATCACAGGTGTGACAACACAGATCATGTTTACAAGATGAGGATTATATTCTGCAAACCAATGACTATAAAAAGAGGATTGGAATGATGTACTTAAAATCTCTGTGTAAAGGGGACTCTGCTTTGAGCAGCATTAGCTCCACATACTGGTCTTCCAGATTCAGTACTTCAGAGATCTGGGGAGAAGTTGAAAATTGTTCAGAGAGGTACTGCAAGTGTGAATCAAGACCTAAGAGAGCTGCCTTACTGTGCAAGATGTGATGAGCTTGCTCCAGTTGGTATGGTCAATGGAAGATTAAAAATGAGCTTTGATCATTCCACGAGCACTGTGTGGGAGCAGGGCCATGAAAAGCTGCTGGAGCAGCTTTGGCTGGTGGAACTGGTTCTTTTATCTCATGTGTGGCAGCTCATGCTCACCAATCTGACCCATGAGGGGCAAATGTTTGTACACATGCGGATGTGGAAGGGGCTACTGACAGTAGATGGTGCTTTAATTTAGCAGAAAAGCAAAGAATGTGATTAAGTGATTTGAGGCTGGAACAAGCAGCTCTGTATTCAAAACTGGTAAGAGCTACCATCCTAACGTAAGTGGGAAAAGGATAGAGGGGAGTCTCCGTAGCTTGTAGCCTTTGGATTTTGACATAGTATCCTTCTTCAGAAGAGAAAATTAAGAAGAGTCATGGCTGAGAGACAACTGAGTAGAGAAACTACGGTATTTCACCCAGCAGTCTGTTGTTTAGGAGGTCAAACTTTCCTATCATAATCATCAGAAGAGTGTATTTCCATCCAAAATGTCACTTGGCCAGAACTGAACAATGTCTTTTTTTCCCTTTTGCAGCATCTTTTCCTTAAGGGTTTTGACAAAGCTGTAACCACCTTTGTCGCTTGTTTGGGTGTACTTGGGGTTGACTCTTTCACTTCCCTCTTTGTCACAATATACTGCCTGAACCAGATCTTGCATCTGCTTTCCCCTTGTTGCCAGAACTGTTGGGTTTTTTTTTTTTTTTTGCTGTGCCATCATCTATAAAATTCTTTCTCTGTTGTGGTTTAATTATCACAAGCATCTATGCTTCTTCAGCCTTATGGACACTGGGCTAATATGTCCATCTGCTTGAGGATGTTTTTTCTTTTGGAAAGGCTCAGATATGCAATGACACTTTTTCTGGGCAGGGGAAGCTGTTCCAGAGCATTTCTTGGTGCTGTTAATTCTGCACGTGTCTCCAGCTAATGGCTCTGTCAGCAGAGTGACCCTCAGTGGTTTAGCTGAGTCTTTAAGTGCACTCCAGCCCCACTCTGCAAAGAGGGACCCCACATAAGTGGAGCTTTCCTCATGCTGGCTCTTTAGACATCACAGAGAGGACAGCCTAGAAGAGCCCAGTTGACTGTGCCTGGGACTAGGAAGGCTGCCTAGGCCAGAGATCTGCTCCAAACAACTGATTGCCTTGGACCCTTTCCGAAAAAGGCTCTGCAGACACGTATTCCTTCAGTGAACTACCAGAGATGGAGGCACACTGCCAGAAGAGCCAGCTGCGTTTGGGATTAGATGGCTGGAAAGAAGTCCTTTTCTCTGTCTTCAAAACAAAATCACTTTTTAACATCTGCTGCAGAGAGTTCTCGTGACTCAGGGTTCCACAAGAAACTGTTCTCCTCCTTCTTTTTCCTGTTTCTTTTTCTTTCTAATTAAGGTTATTTCCCTTCCCTTTCCTCACCTATGGTGTCTCCATATATGTTTCCTACTGGACAGGAGTGGGAGAGGTGTCTTTTTTCTCTCCATTTAGTGGGGTCTTTTTGTCTCTCAAAGTCTTGTGATAACAGCAGCAATTTTGCTCTCACCAAGGTGAGCACACCCCAGATAACCTGGCAAGATCTGCCTGCACTCATAAAATTGCTTGGAGAAAAGACTTCCTCACTAAGCCTTTGGTTTATTGTTATTTCAGTGCTGAATGAATGATGAGAAGGTTTAAGTAAACAGATGGGTTTGATTCAAGCCCATCATACCACGGGTGTGGGGGGAGAGGAGCTGCTTGTCCTGACAGCTCATCTCATTAGGCCACACGTGGTGTGAGGTGTTGAAAGCAGTTTATCACGTGTAATGCCTGGGCATGATGAGGTGAGCTGGGGATCAAGTGTATCTCTGTCTCCCCCCTAATTCTTAATATTTACAAAGGTTTCCTGTAGTTCTCAGATGCATGCAAATTAAATATGTGTGGCTCTGTTTGCATTTACATTACAAAAATCACCTCTTCCTCTGTTTCTTCCACAGTCTCAGCTGCCGGCGATGTATTATTGTGGGAAATGGTGGAGTACTTGCAAATAAATCATTGGGGTTAAAAATTGATGACTATGATGTTGTTGTCAGGTGAGTCTTTGGCATTATAGTTTCCTTGTCATATATTCAGTTTCTGTATCAGTCCACATGCTATGCAGGCAGACTTTTAACCTGTGCTAGTGACAGTATCCATTTGTATGAAAACATGAAGTTATATGGAGGGGAAGAAAAGACAAGAGCATATAAATGTTTGTTATAAATGGTGTTCACATCAAAGGGTAAAGGCACTCCTCAAACATTCCATTTTCCACAGCTATTTGGGAATGTGGTCTCTCATATGATCCTGCTTGAACCTTCTCTTCACAGCTCCTTTCTAAAAGCTGCTGCTTTCTGTGATGCCCTTAGGTGGTGAAGCAGTAACTCAAACTGTTGGATCTGCTCCCAGATGTATCCCCTAGGTAGCTCAGGGAAGTATTACTGGTCATACATGTGTAGCGTTCCCCAGGAACTACACTTCACAGTTAGGATGGGAAGGACTAAGAGTGATGCAGCATAGGGTATTAGGAGGCAGGAAGCCTCTATGAGTGAGGACCCAGTGATTACAGGTGCCCTAGAAACTGGGAATACTTTACCTCTGTTCACTGTGGATGACAATGTTGAATAAGGGAGCAGAAGCAGAGTGGTGTAGGAGTGGAAAGGACCACAGGCAAAGTCAGGACTTCTTGCTTTGGCTGAGGACCTGGATCATTGCCATCTCAGAATGCTTGAAAAACGTGCTGATATGTGAAATCACAGGTCTAGTCATAACTCTTAGTAATAAATCTGTCAAGTCAGGGGGGCGTTCTGGGTGACTGGAGATTAACAAACATAATACCTGTACTAATGGAGACTCAGAGAGAGAGTGTGTGTAGGAGGGAGGGGGAGGATGTGCTCTAGGGAGCTACAGACCCATTAGTCTGACTTGAAAAAAAAAATGCAGAGCTTTCCAGCAGGTTTTGAATCGTGAGTAACAAAATATTACAAAGGTAAATAGGAAAAGTGGGATAAACTGCAGTGTAAGTTTATAAAAACTGGTTTAACACAGTCTAAGTTGGCATTTTTTGTCTTAGTAAGATAACTGATTTCACGTTAAAGGAAATGTGTCTGATATCATCTCTCTGAATTTCAGTCAGCTGTGAGATGTGGTGGCAAAAAGCAAATTCTTAGCTAAGGTGGGAGAAAGAAAGGGATTAGTAAAAGAATTTAAGGCAGGTATCATTTAGCATGGTCTCTGTTCTCTCCTATGTGCCAGTAATGGGCACATGAGGAAAGAACAGAACATAGAGAGAGTAATAAATGTCCTCTAACTCTGGACACAAAGAAGATCCCTTTTAGTCCTTTGTTCCTGTGAATGGCTCCCTGATTCTCCATCGGTGTGCTGGACACAGGGATGGCTGTTCAGAACAGGACAAAATTTTTACAGCCCTTTTCCTGGTCTCACAATCAGTTCTTAGCAAAGAGCTCTCACTACTTGTCATATTCTGGTGACTTGTAGTTATTTGAGCTGAATTAAAATGTAGTTATAGCCTTTTCTTGGTTTCAGAATGTTCAAAAAGTGGCAAAAGAACGGTTTCAATCCATCTGGACTAAGCCACCCACTGAGATTTACATCAGAAAGTCCACTATTTAATTTCCAAATGAAAAGTTCAATTTTTTCTCTCACATCAGTAAATCTAAGTCAGTTTGCAAGCTGGGAGGATAAGAGGGCAGCTGAGCACCTGTGCTGTTTGTGGGACAGATAAAGAGGAGAGAAGTCAACTGTAAAGGTTAAATGAAACCAGGTGCTTGGATGTGTATCCAACTGCTTGCTTTACTCCCGTGGAAGCTGAGGAAGTCCCTTGTATTATAGCATCCTTTTTCATGGGTTGCAAAACTCCTTTGAAGGATCATGTTTGGGACCTAGGAAGTGAATTTTAAGGGAAAAATGTGGTACATTTGTGGACAAAGATGTGATCCAGCAGTATGTGGAGTTTTTTGATGCCCATGTGAGGATTGCTAATTGCAGCATAAATTTTGTTCTTGTGATGAACATAGTCCAGTCGGTTTTGCCAGTTCTAAAAACAGCTTGGAGTGAGTTGGTTACTGTTTTTTCTTTAACTAGATATTATCAGATTTCAGTGCAGATGTTATTCCCAGCTGTGACACTGTTTACCTGGCAGGAACTTCTTGCAGCAGTCAGTCATCAGTATTCTGAAATGCCTCCTTGCAGGCAGGGCAAAAACAAGTGTGTATCAGAAATTCCTGATCAGAACAAGATAGGGATTCACCTGCTGATGATACTTTAGTGGTAGGGTCTTCATGGTGCCACGGTTAGGAGTTAGTGTCTCATCAGCAGACATGGACTGAAAAACACTCTGAAACTTCTGTGAGAAAACTGCCCATCCATGGACAACACAAGGAGGCCTGACATCCTAACTGAGGTTTTTCAAGATTTAGCTGTGCTTATAACCACTAGTGTGTCTTGCCTAGGAAGGGGTTTGAGCTGTGTAGCATCACCTTGGTGAACACAGGCTGTGGCTGCCAGAACTTCTCCTGGTCCCTTACCCACACTGCCCTCTGGGCACTGCCCCTGGGGCTGACAGTGCTGGCTCTTGGAAGGACTCCATAACTGGGACTCCATCAGCAACTCACACTCTGGCCCCTTGCTGGGGACCTGAGTTCATTTTCCTCGGGGAAATGGCTTGTTTTGTTTCCTGCCTAGACACAAAGCAGGGGTCCCAAGTTTTGGGAGCATTGACAAGGTAAGCAGCAAACCAGCAAACCGAGCAGCTGGGGATGGGGAAAACCCTGCCAAAGAGCCACACGTTGGCATCTGAAATGACTCCAGACACCTTCTCCTCAACTTCAAGAAAACAGATAAAAATATGCTTAACTAGCTTTCTTCACACAGTACTTTGTAATATTTATCTCTGTTTCCTTTACTTTATGTAAGGTCATCTACCCCAAAGACACACAACACCTTAAAGTTTAAATAATACCCATAGGAAAAGTGAGTGATGTGTGAATGCACCGCCAGCAACAGAGGAGAAGCAGGGGATCAGGCTGGCTGGGAGCACTGTTACTGCAGGTAGTCAGGTCTAGCTACCTCAAAGTCAGGCTACAAAGCAAGGGTTTATAAACCATGGAAAAAGAGTTCATCTGCTGTATAAATTGTGATGGTGCTGATTCTTAAGTTGCTTTCCCTTCAATATTTTATTCCTAATGATAAAGCAAGTATTTTTACTAAAAATGCATAGGACTTTGTTCCTCTAAAATTTGAATATAATTTCAGATTTTATACAGAGATTTTCTTCTCCTAAAAAGTTTCCAATGTAAAATGCTTACCCAGGCTGAAAAAGACATATCCAGATACTCATTAACATTCCTGCACGGCAAAATTTGCAGTCCATAAGCACTTTCCAGTATATTGAACTACACCAAGTCAAGAATGCTGCAATAATTCAAGCAGGCAATACTGTTCCATCAAGGGCTGCTATTTGATGTCAGCAAGATTTGTATTCCAAGTTACTTGAGATTTCCTCAGCTTTGGCCTTCTAGTTTTGAATAGAAGTTTTGAATAATGTCATGAAAGTCATCATTGCAGTTCATGCCAAAGCGGTTTGTTTTTTCAAAGGAAAAAACTTTGTTCCTGAGAAATATTTTAACAAAAGCACAGCTAAATACATAGCATTCCCTTAGAAATCAGTGTGCCCAAGAGCAAAGCTCTGTGTCTGCTTGGGTGTTTTCAGAGTGGGATGCACTTCCACAGCAGAAACTCCTTGGAGTCAGTGAGACTGAAGTTGTGCTGAGCCTTGCCCCAGCCATGCAGCCCAACTTCCTCCTTTGTGCTGCCATTGCAAGGCACCTCACCCTCCAGATGGGCCAGTTTGGGGAATTAAACCCAGGAGATTGTTCCTTTGGGGGTTTTTTGAGAATTATATCCCTAAACAGCCTCACTGCAGGTAAAATGAGCAGTGTGAACTCTGGATTGGGGTTGGAGCATTAGACCAGGTTCAGCTCTTTTAAAACTGATGTGGAGCTGCATCATCTCTTTCTGCACAGTCTTGCAGAATCCAAGTGACACATCACAGGAGCAATGGGATGTTAAAATATTAATGCTTAGTTCGTAACTCTAAATCTGCAAGGACAATATTTTTCAGTTTCCTTTTCCAAAGCTTCCGATTCAGTGTAAATCACAATAGTGGATATGCAGAAATGATTTGCATTATATTCAATTGTATAATTTAAATGGCTTCTAATTAAACTGTCATCACAGTTGGTATAAACGTTCATAAATGTTCGTGTTGAAGAACTGGAAGAGGTAACATTTGCTGCTCTAACACCTGCTACAGGGAATTCTTGCTCAGCAGTGATTGCTGTGTCATCAACACCCCTGAGTGTAAGTGGGAATCCTTGACAGTGTCTTCTCTGGTTGCCCTGCAGGCTGAACTCGGCTCCAGTGAAAGGCTTTGAAAAGGACGTGGGTGGCAAGACAACACTCCGGATCACATATCCTGAAGGTGCAATCCAGAAAATGGAGCAGTATGAGAAGGATTCCCTGTTTGTTCTGGCAGGATTCAAATGGCAGGATTTCAAGTGGCTGAAATACATTGTTTACAAGGAGAAAGTGGTAAGAACGCTGTCAGCTGATGCTGTGAAGGTCACCTAATTAGTAATGGTGGGCAGACATGGTATCACCATTGTATTTGCCACATTTGGGTCTGAGGAGAATTCCTCTGTGTGTCCTGCTGCATTTAAGTGAAGACTTTCTTTATCTCCATGGACTTCAGCTTTAATTAAGTGTGTTTTACAATGACATCTCTCTGTAACTTGGCCTTGCGTCACAGATGAGGCTTTCTATTCAAGATTATGTTAGTGTGTACTATAAACAATGAATTTAATTTTTATTTATTTTAAAGGGTATTTAAAAGGACCAGCTCTTGCATGGATTTTATGGTCTCTTAGGATTTAAGAGCAGAGGAAAGAAAAGAGCAATGGCAAGAGGAAGAAGTGGGAGTCTGGGGACAAGGAGGAGGGGAGGACAACAGCATCACAACTTGTTGAAAAGGCTACAAGCAGACTTAATGTGACCTTAATAGCACAAACCATTATATTTTTCTCAGTTACTGAGATTTGTGATTTGTGTCTGATTGAAGTATCATCCAGAGCAACGGTATCAAGTGTAATTTTAAAACACTGAAATGATGAATACACTGCTTTCCCCATGTAAATATTTTCCCCCCATTGGTTGCATTAGTGCCCTTCTGAAGTACCATGGACCTGTTAATAGTCAGGGCTGTTCTCTGTAATTCACCCATCCTGAATGGAATCAGGTTGTGATCAGTGACTTCTCATTCAGTGGATGGTTTGTCTTCATCTGCTGTCATGATATCCAGAATAAATGCCCTCTATTTGGGTATAGTTCTTGTTTTACATATCTTAAATATCTGTTTTCAAATGCTTCTCAATGACTTTTCAGCAAATAACAAGACAAATGGATTAGCTTTTGGAGGATGGGATATTATATCATGTGTTTGGAGACAGACAGAGAGAGGAGGTTGGCAGCTCACCACATACACAGAATGAAGCAGTCTGGAAGTCTAATTGCACACAGTTGTTACAGAGATGGCCTTAAGGGCTCATACTTTGCTCTTGTCTCATACTGGCACCAACTTGCAATTATTTTCCTGGTACCAGACAGATGAAGTTACCTGTCAGCCTCTGGGCAAGCACAAGTGGGCTTTCGTAACATGAATAATTGAGTTAAAAGTAATTTTCTTTGATTTATGTAAGGCTCCTCTTCCTCGTTCAGGGGAAGGGAAAACCCTGGCAGTGTCAGTGCCCTGCAGCCTGAACACAGTTGCAGGGACTCGTGGTGTTTAGCTTGAAGTTCAAGGGATGGGTTGGTTTACTTGAAAACAAATTGAATTTCCACCTGATGCTTGCAGTCAAGTGGTCATCACTAGATTCTAATATGGTATCCTCTGCTCTTAGAAAGATGCAGCAAATTGTCTGTTAAAACTTGCTAGAAGACAGGGGAGAGCCATTGCAGTTGTTTGAACTGAGTGCTTCAGTGCCCAGCTTGGTAGAGAGCAAAAGGAACTTGAGCTTCTTGCATTGCATGTTACTGCAGTGCTCTTGTGATTGGCTCCTTATCCTTTATTTCTTCAGAATAAACTCTCCCATTTCTTTCAGTTCTTTTAGGTGATGTTTTCCAGATCTCTTAATTCCTGTTGCTCTTTTGAATGCCTGCAGTTAATTAATCTTTTCCTTAAAGAGCAGTGCCCAAAAATGTACAGACTATAGCAAAAAGAGAGGAGCAAACAGCTGCTTCACTAGCCTCACAGTTCTCATTCCTCATACATTTGCTGTTTGGACAGCCTTTTCCACAGTGGCATGGAACTGGAGGTGAGTGTCGGGTTCCTTGAGACTCCAGGTCTCAGGAAGAATTGAAGAGCAGCCACCTCCCCAGCTCCACACCCTGTGCTTCTGCCATTGGCTCCTCCTGTCAAAGAGCAGCACTGTGCACTTGTCCCCACCAGTTCTTTCTTCCAGAACACTTCTCCAGTTTGCCAAGTTCCTTTGGCAGAGCTTCCCAGCATCCCTGCCATTCTTTCCAGATCCATGTCCTCTGCAATTTAATAAACATACTTTTTATTCCATCATCCAGGTTAATAATGAAAACACTAAATAAAGTTGGTTCCTAGGCAGAACCCAAAGTAATAACATCCTCCCATTTCTACAGTGAGCCCACTGAGAACTCATCCTCGATAGTTTTTTGGCCACTTCTGAACTTGTATCACAGTAGTATCCTTAATAACAGTTTTAGGATGTTTGTGAAAGTGATCTCTCAGAAGCTTTACTGAATACCAGTTACATGTCTTCCTTCTTCCCACTGATAATTTTTCTTCTGTATAAAGAATTTTTTTTAAACATAATTTGCTCTTGACAAATCCTGGTGGGTGGCTACTCAGTCTTTCTTATTTTTTTCAGGTGCTTACAAACAATTAATCCTGCTATTCTGGGAATTGAAATCATAAATCAACTCTCTTCCCTTTTCTGCCTTTTAAGGCTAGGCACTGCTTTTGTCCATCTTTCAATCCTTTGAGAATCCTACCTGTTCTGCACAAGTTCCCAAAGGGAGTCATTGCTGGTTTTTGAGGCTGCTGGGTCATTGAATACTTTAGGATACAGACCAGGTGACTGGAAAACATCAGTCTTGTGCTCTCTAGTCTGATCTCTATTTGAGGCTGAGATCTTGCTGTCACTGGCTTTAGCTGCAAGCAGGTGGGTGGCACAGCTGCTTTTCTAGAGGAAACTGATGCAGAAAGTGCTGTCTCTTAGATAGAAATGACCCAATGGAGAACGAGCAGGGCTATGGGAATAGCACACAGGTGTCTGTTCTGGTAGTGAGTGTTAGTATTTTTATCAGTGTGTGGTAAGTTCAGGATGACAAATGCCTGCCCAGTGCTCTCTGTGGAGAGTTTGTTTCTCTCAGCTGATGTTCCAGAGAAAAGGGAGCTTCTTCCTTTCCTGGATTCATCTAGAGGCACTTGCTTGATCTGAGAGGTCTGTATGCCACTGTTGGTTATTCCTTATCTGACACGTCCCTCTGCAAGACTTCATCCCTGCTGCAAACCAACCATTACAGTCAGGAGTCTGACTTAGGATGGAGAAAAGGAAAATGGAAGCATCCTGCTAAAAAACACAACTGCTGTGGAAGTGGACACATTCCTCAAAAAAAATAGGCTGATCTCTGCCCTCTGATGTTTCCTTTGCTCGTGACTGTTGATAGAGACTGCATGTGTCCATGGCACAGTCACAGGTGGGTATGAGACTTCCTGAATTTCTTCAGACACCTGGAGCTGCTTGGACCTGCTTGACCAGAGATTCTGGGCCAGGTATTAGGATCTTTGCTTAGTCCTCTCTTGAGTAAGTGAAATCAAAGGGAGTTTATCTGAGAAAGAGTAAATGAAAGGCGAGTGGCTATTTATTGCTGGGTCAGTGGTCAGATAAGATTATTCTCCCTGCAGCTGAGAGGGATTTGCTCTGTGTTATGTGAGTCTTTTGGCAGCATTTGCGTACTGAGAAAGGGATAAGTGCTTTGCAGAGAAGGATTTTCTGGAGATGTTATGAGGAAAAAGAATCAATGTGATGAAGAAGCACCAACAGAACGGAGAGGCTGGGGATTTTATGTGTTACACACTCTGGTGTAATGGCCTCCCAGAGATCTGTGTGATGCCCTAGGAGATGCTACGTCCAGAAACCAGAGCAGTGGAGTATGGACCAAGGAAAAAGCAAAAACTCAACTGCTTTTTATTTCCCAGTAAAACAGAAATATCTGGAAGCAAGTAAAAACTTGAGAGAAAACATTATTCTAGAAAAAGGAGAGGTTTGGCTAAATATTCAGCAACAACAGCAAAACAAAGGTAGTCTCCATCACAGAGTTCTGGCTGAGCTGACGCTCCAAATTGTCCTGTAGGAAGTTACAGCAGTGACTGGTATCACCAGAGAGTGTACAGCTGCCTTTAAGAAGGGGAAGGGTGAGTGAATCTGAGCGACTAAAACCCTGGTAATCTGATTTCAGTCATTTGACAAGCATTAGAATAAACTGAAGGAGAAAATAATTGCACCGGTTGCAACTAAAAGGAGTATGGGATAGACAAAAGTGACATGGTTTAGCAGAGGGGAGTATTGCACCATGCTGACCTAATATGTCAGTGTACAAGTGGAAAGGAAGTGAGTTGGAGTCCCACAGCCTGCAGTGGCCTGAACTCGTGGTTGTTGCAGAAGGGTCACAGATGTGAGTTGTTCGTGCGTCTGTGGTGACTGGTCTGGCAGTGCTGCCTTGGAATCATTGCTGCAAGAGCCTGCTGACACAGCCAGGCACCCCTTGGATGATGAAACGACTGCTGCCAGTGATCCCCAGAGAGGGATTACTCATGGGCAGTCACTCAGAACAGTTACACTTTCTCCTGGACTGTTCTTTTTGCCAAGAGACATTACCTATGTTCCGATCCACCCTGCTGCTTCCTGCTTCTTGTACCCTCCTGCATCACCCTGGGTCTTCCAGTGACAGAAGCTCTTCCTGAGCACCCAAAGTACCAGTGAAATTATATGGGGGGGGAGGTTTGGTCATATATTGCTCTTAAAATAAGAGGCAGAAGTTTCTCTATTTTGTGGAGAGTAGATGCTTCCTGAAACAAACAGTAATTTTCAGCTCCAGATATGCAAATCAGCTATCTCAGCCTGGTGCTGAGGCCAATTCCAGCGTGGTTTCTTGCCCATCATTAGTGAATCAGAAAGAGCTCTCTTGCTTGCTAGGGCTGACTTCCCTGAACATCTGGCACACAGCGATAAAGCAGCCAAGTGAGGGCAAAGGTGTCACTAGAAATTGGCAGCTAACAAGCTTCCTTCTCGTGTGATAATGAGCCTGCGGATGATTCCGACGGGAATCTCTGCAGCCTTTGCCAGGAGGAGTCACTTGTGCAGTGAGCCCCTGCGGCACCTCCAAATTCTCTTTGATAGTGAAAGTCATAGGAGCAAGTGAGCACCTGCCTGCGAGCGTGGCCAGGTTGGGCTGTGTGTCCCTTGCAGGGGCATGTCTTTGACAACTTGCACACAGCAGTG